TCTCTCTCTCTCTCTCTCTTGGTGAAAATATTTCTTCTTGCAAAAAAAAAAAATTTCCTCCTGCACTTCACTCAAAGTTTATTCTATTATTCTACGTGACTAAAATAAAACTTGTCTTCTTCTTCTTCTTCTTATTTTTCTACTTTTTCTATTTTTTCTTTCTCTTTCGTTCGAGACATAACATTCTAGAAGTTATTATTTATCTATTCAATCCAATTTTTCTTAAATCCTTTCTCCGATTTCTCAGAAACTTCGTCTTAACTTCAATATTTTTGTTGAACAACCAACGACATTTACAGAATTTCTAAACGAGTAACGTAAAGTTGTAAACGGGAACGTTACGTTTTGCCTTGTTCCGTGCACTGAACCGCAGCTAAATTTGATTGCATAACCCCTCTCTTTCCCTCTATCTCTAACATAGAGAAAGAGAAAGAGAAAGAGAGAGAGACACGTATTCACACAAAGACACATAGGACAGTAGCGATCTTGCAGAACATGGGATCGTAAACTTTAGTCTCCCTAGATGTGTAAACTCTGTGTGTTACGAGCTGCATTTTTAACTTAAACGACTATTATTACTGAGAAAACAAGTATCATGTTGGTCCAAGTTTAACAAAGAGTTCAATCAAAAGTGATAGTATCATTATAACGATACTTATTATAAATGATAAAATATCTAATTTCTTTTAAATATATAATCCCTTTTTTTCAAAGTGTGTAGACATTTAATTGTCCATTTGTTTTTATTTTTTTCGAAATATTTGAATATAAAATGCTCTCTCTCTCTCTCTCTTTCTCTTCCCCACTCCCCTACCCATTAAATCAGAGGAATATTCAGACGCGTTGGGTATTAATTATGATTTTAGTTTATACTATTCCCTTTTAAAATATTTGACTTCCTTTCTCGCGATCTTCCCGTGGAAAAATGGCCCTTCTTTATTTTTTTTTTTTTTTCTTTATTTTCTTCCTGTTATCATAAAAGTAGTAGAAACGTAGGGACGGGCAGGCGGGTAGTTGTTGTGTGGTCGAAAGAAATGCGTGCAGAGTAAAATTGTGTGTGTGTTTGTATGTGTACGAGCATCAACGTTCACCGGATGTACAGCGTAGCGTGATTCCGGTACTTAGTTTAGTACTCCTGGTAAGAGCGGTCAGGCTTACCATCAGTGCAACTTCGTCAAAACAATTTTCTTTCTCTCTTTCCCTTCTCTGTCTCCACCCCCCACCTGCCACCCGACTCCCACCACCCCATCATAGTTCATTTAGCATTAAAATGGTATCGATATACATAAGTCGAAAACAGGTATGACGAATTCCATACGATTATAAGACGAGACAATAATTTGTGCACGCGTTGTTAGCATTAAATGCAATAATACAGGTAACCCTCCTATAACACGGTAGATAATTAGATTCCTAGAAAATACATTATACCATTTAAAATGATTTCTTTTTGAAGTATGTTAAAGTAACGACACCATTGTGTTATTCAGTTTTGTAGAAATACAATGTTTTATCAAGATTTTGTCAAACTTTTTGTATCGTGTTATAGGGATTTTTGATTGTAGGTGTGGAAGGTTTACCTGTATATAATATACTTATTACTTAAATGCCTATCCTTTTTCTTTCTAACGTCCGTGAAAATGGCGATTCACGCAAAGATGCCTAACTCTTTTTGTCGAGATACTTTAGGTAGACGACGATGATGACGACGAGGAGGAGGAGGAGGACGATGAAAGTAGGAACTTGAGATGTTGAAGTACTCTGTTTGACGTTACAGGTGCCCAAGAACAAATTAGGGTCAATGGGGCCGATGCCGAGCGAGAGGACGCTATCGTTGAGAATTTTAAAGAAGCAAACAATCAAGTTCGATCCTCTACGCCTAATGGTACGCCATTTTTTCGTCTTTTCTATGTGTTTTCCTTTTTTTATTTTTGATCTTTTTTTTCTTCTTCTTCTTTTATATCAAACATCAAAGATTTATGTCTGATTTATTCAGTTTCGTTGAATATGTCTTAAATTAATTTCACGAATTTTCATAAATTCTTTTTCCTCCTTTCTTCTTCTCACCACCCCCCATAGATTTGCATCATCGGTATCTCGTCGAGACGATAACGATGACGACGGTAACCGAACGACGAATCATTCGAGAAATCAGCGAGAACGAAAGGAAAATTTGTTTGGATGAACTTGATCTGGAAGAAGAAAGACCGACCAATGAGATTCCTAAACAGGATGAAGTTCCAACGATAGACTCTTCTTCATCTTCATCTTCATCTGCATCTGCATCTGCGACGACGATGGGGACTAATAAAGTTGATAATCTTTCTTCGTCGAATGTTTGTCGGGAATGTGGTGGTGGTAATGGTGGTGGTGGTGGTTTTGATGGTGGTGAGGAAACCTATACGGAAATGATCGAGGACAACGAGAGAACGGATAACGTTGCCGTAGTTGGAAGTAATAATAAAAATGAAAATGAGGAAAGAACGATAGATGGTGGTGGTGGTGGTGGCGAGGAGGAGGAGGAGGTGGGAGTGGGAGTGGGAATGGGAATGGGGGTTGGAGAGGAAAATAACGAATCGAAAGAAACCCTACAAGATGTTACGGAATTATCGTTGACGTTTAAACTTGGTAATTTAGCTAGCAACAGCTTGAAACCAAATTCAGCAGTTAGACAATTATTTCCTAATCCGAGATTTATTTCACCACCACCAGCACCTTTGAACAAATCTGTCTCGTTAGTCGATTCCGATAGTACTACCACCGCCACAACTTATTCGGAAGCACAAAAATTTCTCATAACTGCTGAAAATTTACGTTTATTCGATACCACGAAGAGATCATCGGCAGGAAAAACGGTTGGAACAACAACGCGTAGCGAGTCTTGCGAAAGTGAACAACCAAGTACGATCAAAAGAACGATCGAGAGGAACACGTTGAGAAGAAGTTTGATTGGCAAGTGCAATGCAACCACGAGAAAGAAAAATCTCAGATCGAAGGACTTGTCTTTGGAAGAAAGAATCAGACAACTTACTTGTGTTGATCAGGACGAGGACGTTATCGAAGAATCGTCTAAGAGTTCGGAACTTGTTTTAGAACAAGATAACGATAGATTGGAATTCTCTGTACGAACTTCGCCGTCCGGTGAGGAACAGCCACCGATTGAACGATTTTCACAAAAAGTTGCTGCCACCTTGAGCAACGCGATGATATCGTTACCTTTGACAACTTCTACGTCAACTACGATGATACCAATGGTGACGACGAATATTCCACCACTGTTGACCACCACCACATCGACGCCAACGACAACAGCAAACGTTTACAATTCGAAAGGTGGTAATCCATTGATGGATACCACGGCAAATCAATCAACGTATAGAAAGATTACCGATCTTTTTGCTTACAAGAAAAATACCGAGCCAAATTTGCCGGATCTTGGTATAGGTAACAATGGTAGAGGTACTTTGGTTAAAGAATGTCAGTCAAAGAATTCTTTAACGAAAATGAATTCCGAAGTGAGAAGACAATTTTTAGCCAGTCTCGCACCATTATCTTGCGTCACTGTTAACAATGCGGACACACGTGAGGATTATTATAGAATCGAGCCAAGAATTACGACTAATGTAAATAGCAATCAGATAAATCACCTGTCCGATTCAGCGTACAGCTTGGAGGACATTGAAACGGCATTGAATAGAAATCGTGCTAGTGCTCCTGATGTTACAAGGGGTACGCCAGTTGGTAATAGGCCAGATATCAGTGAGAATTCAGCAGATGAGTTGCTTGCTTTCGTGGAACAAGATAAATCTAGAATGGAACGAATAAAACGACGGTATAGCGAGAACGAGGACCGTCATAGTCTCGTTAATGGTGTTTTGGGAGACGATAAAATGGCGAGTACTACGAGCAGCAACAACGAGCACAGTCATGAGGAATGTCATGGCGAGGAAGATGATCAGGACGATGAATTAAACGATTATGGTTTTAACAGACGTCCACCTGTTCGAGGTATCAAACCTCTGTTTAGTACTACCAATGAGATTGTACATCAGCTTCGTTCTCGGAACGTAGTGACCAATGACTTCAGTGACGTGAGAGAGACATTTGCTACGGCATGGCCAATGCATTACGATAAGAACGGTGATAGAATAGATGGTAAAAATTTATTGACGATGGAAAACATTCCGACTAATGTTTACGATACGATGCCGAAGGAAGACACGAACACGATTGATCGAATAAATAGTATGCAAAAACAAATCGACGATATTTATCAAACAATCGTAGAGACCGCGGTTACACAAGGGAATCTCGATCGTGTAACTTATTTAGAAAATACGTTGCCACGACCATTGGTAAGAATACCACCGACCGATGGTATATCCCATCAATATCCCGAACAAAAGAACGGTCAGAATTATTTTCCGGATAAGCATCAACCGACTAACGTTCGTATGTTACGTATCGCGGGTGGTGGTGGCGAGGAAACGATACCGGCTGCAAATTATGCAGCAACACTACCAGCTAAAATTCGTCGATATCCACCAACGACGATTCCTAATTATCATTGCAACGTGGTCTCGCCAACTGTGGCATCTAGCAGTGGTGGTGGTGGTGGTGGTGGTAGTGGTGGTGGTGTTGGTACTAAGTGTTATCGTACGATGTATTTCGTGCCATATAACGGAATCTCAGATCCGACATATCAGAACATTCAACGGATCTTACCGCCACATTCGTCGCCTAATTACGCGACCCACATCGAGCGTTATCCTTATCCTCGACAAGCGAAGATTGATAGCCCGCAGCAGCAGCAGCAGCAGCAACAGCAACAGCAGCAGCAACCACAACAGCAGCAGCAGCAGCAACCACAACAGCAACAGCAACCGCAGCAACATCAGCAGAGGTACTACCCACGTCCCTTGGCGCCAAATACTTATTTAGCGTCACAACCACCACTTCCTGATTCTGCTCCACCTAATTGTCTTCCTTCCCAAACACCTCAGCAGACGCTCCAATTACACCTACACCATTTATCGTCCGTTCCTCATGCCGCTGTTCATCCTATCCAATTTCAACATCGGCAACATCATCATCAAATCGCTTCGTACCACCTGCAATCGGTATTACCGCCGCCGCCACCACCCCCAGCATCTTACACGGTGATCGCACCGCCTAGATGCGCCTCCACAATAACAGCCGGGCATTCGACAAATCCAGCCTATCATCTTTATCAAATACCGCTTGGCCGAAGTTCTGCTACCGTTGCTACGGCCGCTGCAGCAGCCGCTGCAGCAGCTGCAGCCGCGGCAGCTGCGAACGCCACGGATGTGCACACTCAAACCGTTTCGACGTCTTCCTCGACACCTATGTCCGTGCCCGTTACCTCTTTTAAACCGATATGCGATTTACGCCTATCCGCGAGTTTTTCCGTCAACGATCAACAAGGAAACGTTAATATCGGTGGCCCACTTTCGGCATCCTCCTCGTCTTCTTCCTCGGCGTTATCTTCGCCCACGAAACAACAACAACAACAACAACAACAATTAGTGAATAATTCGTGTAGCGTCGCGGAACGCGGTGTACCCGAAGGTGCAGCTAGTGCACCCTCCCATGATTTTTCTCAGGTACCTCCTCAACAACAACAACAACAACAACAATCTTCTCAGCATCATCATCATCATCAAGCTATCCCTCAAACCCCGGCTCTATCTCAATCGACGACCACCTCGATGTCCCACTTACTCCTCGTGTCAAACTCTTACGGTGGGCATCGTGCCAATACCCTAAACCCGCCTACCGACTCTCAAAACTCCGTGTATTACGCGATGAACGTTTAAACGACCGCCAATTCACGCTTCTGCTGACCAATTTCACTTGGTTGGGCACGAGACTTTCTTGCCCCGACGAGACTTTAATAATACGTCGTATATTATATCTAACACCCAAATAAAACACACACACACGCGCGTACACTTACACGTACATATGAAAAAGGGACACGTACGAAGGAAGAGGGGGGGGGATGGGATGCAGGTGAAATTAACTCGCATCGACGATTCCTTTTCTTTGATGTGGTGGAAAATGACGACAGGTATGTAGACAAAAAAAACGGATGAGAGAGAGAGAGAGAGTGTGTGTGTGTATGAATGAATGAGAAGGACACGAGATTATCGTAAGGGGAAAGCAGCAGGGTGGCGACAACCAACCCCTTCTTTTTCCATGCTCGTAAATGAACGACACGACAGGCTTGATTGTTGAAAGACGATACGACTCGTTGATTTTCTTCTATGCAACGTCGACGACGACGATGGAAATTGGGAGGAACTCGAGTACCATCGTGTGTACTACTACTCCTCCTCCTCCTCCTCCTCCTCTCCTCTTTCTATACTTCTTCGTATCTTCCCTTTGTATTTCATACCATTCGTGAAAGGAGGATAAGTTTTGTCACACTTAAAATATATATATTTTGATGAGATTTCTAGGAACAAAAAAATAAACAAGACTCGTATAACTTTATCTACATATATATATGTATTTATTATTACAAATATTTTTTTTATTAAAACACGTTGCGTTGTTATATACTCTTGTTCATACTAACGAGAAATTAAATTATCGAGTGAAGTTAAAACATAAAAGGAGAAAGTTGAAAAAAATTGTTGTCCAACTTTTAATATTAATTCGAAAAGTTTATTATATCGTTCGCGTGTTGTGCCAAAAGTTTATTAATCAAAATTAATGCTAATACGTTTTAATCGTTCGCGAAAGAATAAATTTTTAACGAGAGACATATAATAATTTATGTAAGAAGAGAGAGTATGCTTTCCTCATTAATTTATAAACCTTTCAACGTGTTACAATAATTTTCTATCGAGTAACGGTTAATAAATTGAAATTGTTTTTATGAAATTTGAAACACACAATGTTATAATCCTACGTAAAAATAATTACCCCTTTTATTTTCTTTTGTTGTTGTTTTTTTGTCTGCAATAATATATCCAATCGAGTAATAAATAATACACGCGATAATTCATTATAAAGTTTATTTTTAAAAATTCCACGTTATATAATATTATATATATATATATTTTATAATTTTCATTATTACGTTATTAATTGATTTATTTATTTATGATAGCCATCAGCTATGTCATAGAGTTATTTTTTTACCGAGTCAATAAAGTATTAATAATCATGCCACTATGAGGTAATATATTTATATATATATATATATATTAGAAAAAGGACGAAGAGAAGGATGAGGAGGAGGAAAAGGATGAGGATGAGATGGAAGAGGGAAAGGGATGAAGGTGACATGGACAGACGACGATATCGATCTTTTTAAAAGAACAGACGTGGGAGGAGGGAGGGAGGATGCTTTCTATCGTGTTACCGCGAACCTTGCGAAAATAGTTCGTCGACGTAAAATCTATAGGAAAAAAAAACACATTTTAAAGTTACCGCGCGTTATCGATTCTGCCAAAGAGATACGTTACTATATTAATTATATATACATAGAGAGAAGAAGAAAAAAAGAAAAAAAAAAAAA